ATTCAATGGATATTCTACAAATGGTTAAACAAGCTAGTGCAATCAAGAGTTGACCTTGGATGGGGTTTTTTTATTGGCAGCCTACCAGTTCCCAGCTCTATAGATCCTACCATTCTACTTCCCTACCATTTCAAGTCCTAGGTAGGACCATCCTTCTTTTGCTTACTCTAAAGCCAAAGATTCCCATAATCAGGTCCATTCCTTAGAGCTGACTTGTTTTGTTATTAAACTTTAGGTGTAAAAAAAGCAAATGAGGCATAAGGGTTATACTCACAAGCTTGCAGTTATTACCTGTTTGATCTAGCTTGGATGGCTAGCTGACCAGAACTCCACCACATAAAAATAGATGATACTGTGAGCAAGTGTAAATTGCTCCGATTTGATGAACTGGACTTTTGCTTATGGATGCAGTTGCTCAAAATTCCCAGCAGAATGGAAGGATTCTTCCTATCAAGGAACAGGCTTGTTCCTCAGTGTACTGGGTTGATAAAACAGGCAATTTAGACACTGGCTAGTGTGGTGCTATAGGATCAGCACTGATTACTAACCACAAGGCTGGCAGTCCAAACCCAACAGCTGCACCTTGGAAACCCTACATAGGGTTGCTTAGTTAGAACCGACTTGACAGCACTTAATAACAACATCAAAAATGGGGGCTACAAAGGCAGGGAGTGGCTGCATTACAAGCTTTCATGAGTGTGCTTAGTTTCAGAAAGAGGAGGGTAACATAAAATCCCCACTGACTACTTTTCTTTTTTTCCCAGATGGATCTTGTGAAAGGGGTTGGGGAATGATTGTGATAGGATTTTATGATTCAATTGCTGAGTAACTCTTTGCAGGACTGTGATGGTCACAACTATAATTGTAGAAGATATAGAACTAAAAGGGGCGAGTAATTAAATTTTCAATTCAGAAATAGATGATCACAGGACCATCAAGAAAGACACGTATATGATCCTACCTAGAAAAGCAGGGACAGCAGAGATGGTGGCAGAGGCCACATGGTTAGGAGATAGCGCAGCTGTGGGCTCTAGGCCCACGTAAGGCTGTTTGCCTTCAGGTAGGAGGCTGGCTTGCAGAATGTACCCTTTGGACATTTAAATGAATAGATATTTTTGTTTTATATGTGTACATTAAATATTTTTGCTTTGTCCATTTGTGAAATATAAGATGCAAAAGAAGCCACAGGGAGGAAGTAAGGTAACTTGTTGTAAGAAGGGGATTTTAATCACCAAGATGAAACACAAAGAGTAAATTTTTTTTTTAATGTAAAGCAGATAATCTTATGTGTTAACCTTCATTCAATTCACAATAAAAAGTTAGAAAATACAAATGATTTATGCAGTTTGGTACTAAAGTGTGAATGTCTAACAAGAACCATTACCATCTGATATATTCACTTCTTTTAAAAAAAAATCAAATAATGCAAATAAATTCATGAAAATCGGGGAGTTTAAGATTATTTTCCCTAGTTCTTAGGAGCCCTGCTGGTGTAATGGTAAAGCACTTGATTGCTAATTGAAAGGTTGGTGGTTTGAACCCATCCAGGGCTCTACAGGACATGTTTAGTGCCACTGAGTAGGCTCTGACTCAAAACGACCCTGTACAGGGTTTCCTAGGAGCAGCTAGTGGATTCAAACAACTCATCTTATGGTTTAAATTGACCTTGCAGTCCAGTACATTATCCTGCATCACCATATGAGGACATAAGCTGGCAAACTGCTATTATAAAGACTGTTGTTCGGTGCCATCCAAATCATAGTAACCCTGAATAGAGTTTCCATGGAGAGGCTGGTGAGCTTGAACTGCTGATCTTGCGGTTCAAACTGACTTTGCAGTCCAGCGCATTAGGCTGCAGCACCACACCAGGACTCCACTATAAAGACCACAAAGATTACAGCCTAAGAAACCAAAGAGTTCTACTCGCTCATATAGAGTTACTATACGTTGTAATTGATTCAAAGGGACTATAAAACCAGTTCTTAATCATATTAATGATAAAAACTTCCACTCACAGCTCTATATACTTGCCGAAGCTATAGACCTAAGAAAGTGTGACACTGAAATCAAACTCAGGTCTAGCTGACTACAATGCTGGTGGTGTTCCTTTCGTGAAACTATAATGTCTCTCATGGCTCTTTACTTTCTTTCCTTGGCGATCTCAAATTTTCCAAGTTTTTTTGACAATGTATCCACTGTAGTGGAGTCCTGGTGTGGTGGTGCAGGATAGTGCACTGGACTTCAGGTCAGTTTGAGCTGCAAGGGAACCAGCCACTCCTTGGAAATCTTATACACGGTCCCTATGAGTTGCAACCGACTTCACAGGACTTAACAACAATATCTAAGGAGCTCTGGTAGTGTAGTGGCTACAAATCAGGCTGCAAACCTTAAGGTCAGTGGTTCGAAACTAGCAGCCGCTCCGTGGGAGAAAGATGAGGCTTTCTACTCCTGTAAAGATTTACACCCTCGGAAACCCTGTACAGGGTCGCTATGGGTCGGAACCGACTCAACGTCACTTAACAACAACAACAACAATATCCATGGTAGTGGTGGCAGTTGTGGTGTCTATTAGGTGCCATGAAGTTGGTTCCAACTCACAGAGACCCTGGACAGAGTTATTGAGGTTATAAATCTTTACGAAGCAGAAAGCCTCCTTTCCCCTGCTGAACCGTTGGCATTTTCAAATTGCTGACCTTGAGATTAGCAGACCAACTGGTAACCACTATGCAATCAAAGTAAAGGCAATAAAGGTAGAGAAGGGAACAAGTAGGGATACCATTCATTTACAAATCCATTCAAAAGTGTTGTTCTACTTGATGATTTCATCATTATTTAAAAATTCTAAGTGTGTTTTGATAAAACCTTCCTAAATTAACCAAACTCTGTATTTCCCACAAATATTATGAGTCATAAAGATCAATAACCCATTTGAAGCAGATTTCAATTCTGTTCATTATAGTTTTGTCATAAAATAAATTTTACCTTACCTTTTATATGTTGTGCAATGATAACCCTTTATAGCAACTAAAGTCTTAGAAATCTATGTAAAAAATGTAAGTGCAGTTCGGAATGAAATTTGAGTGGGGATTTGCAAGCTACCTTTGTTCTGCCTCTCCTAAATTTGCCTTTGAGACTGTTGTTATGTGCCATGGAGTCGGCTCCGACTCACAGTGACCTGTACAGGGTTTCTGAGGCAGTAAATCTTTACGGGAGCAGAAAGCCTCATCTTTCTCCCACGGAACAGCTGGTAGTTTGAACTGCTGATCTTGGGGTTCAAAGCCCGATTCATAACCAGTACCCTACCAGAGCTCCTTTATTGGGTCTAAATATATTGAGTTTTAGGGAAGTAAAAAAGTACTGATAAAGCAGAACAGGTATTATCTGTAAGTCTAGTTTTACACCATATGATATAACACAGTACTGTTGTACACCTTTAATGGTAGCAGACATAATATCCATCGAGTACATGAATCTGCAAAATCTTACTACCATTTTAAACATGTGACACTGAACTCCTCTGACTGGGAATGGAAAAAAATGTATAAAATTAAAAAATAAACTATTCTTGTCATTGAGTATTTAACTATACTATTTAAGGGTGACTGACACGTATAGGCTTGACCTTATTCGTGAGCTATCAGTGATCTCAAATCAGTTAACAGCTGTTCATAAAGCTCACTATGTATTTTAAATGTGGAGAAAAAAAAGACAGGTGTACTGTCATCATTTCTTAGTTGCCAGTTAAAGAATACAACTACCTTATTATTTTTGTTTAATTTTTACAAAAGTCTTCATTAATGAAATTAATTTTTTAACCTTAAACATAGCATTGTTATTTTCAATTGTACAGAGTCCTAACAGTTATCTGCATCATTTTTAGTTAATGAGAAACTAAGTAACTTTCATAACGTTGCACTATTGTTCATGTACCATTCCGCAGACCAAGAATGTTCATCTTACCAATGAAAAGATAAAACATGAATAATATAACACAAAGTTCTTTGTTTTACACAACACCGAATGCCATTAGATTCCCATAGACTAACTTCCAGTGCCAAGATTCCAGATTTTTAAAAATGTGGTAGGTAGCAAACATAGGCGTGAAGGTATTAATCATTTTACTTGTAAGTCTTTGGCTATACAATTTTATGATAGTTCTAAGCAAAACAAATTGGCAACAAGAATATAGGTTCTGTTTCCAAGTTGGAATTTGGCCAATGTTACTAGAATACTTTATAAGCACTTAAACCCAATCAGCAGACTTTAAAGAGCATTCTGCAATCATTAAAAGGCTACAGGCTCGACGCACTGGACGAACATATTCGACAAACCACTTCAGCTATGGCACTAAATCCAGCTAACGACGAGAAAATAATCTGTTTAGAAGCACGTCTTTTTATTTAATTTATATATTAAGTGCTATGGAGTCCTGATATGGCAATGTATGATGAGCACTGGACTGCTAACCACAAGGTTCAAACCCACCAGCCAATCCTGGGAAATCCTAAACAGGGTCGATGTGAGTCAACAGACTCGACAGTACTTAACATCATATACAGGACGCTGGGCTGCGACCAGAAAAACAAAAACAAACCTTCACTCTTTATAGAATTTTGATCGCTTTGGAAGTAGACAAAAAAGCCGTGAAATACTAAATTTGTTGGCTCGAAAATATTAAGAACACTACTCCTGGGATGGCAAAAAAAAAAAAAAAAGACAACAAAAAGGCATGACATTAGTCGGACTTTCAAGGCCAGAACCCGTTTATATTTATCTAAATATAATCCTAATAACGCCCTAAATTTTTAAAGGCCCAAAAGACAAAGCCCTGTGGTGGGCCCAGGTGGTAGCTTCGTATCGGGTTCTCTTGAAGGCAGGCGTTTAGGCGAAGCAAAGCCCAGGTGCTGGGGTGCAAGCAGCGTCACTATAGCGATGAGAAGCAGCAAGCGTCATTAGGGGCTGGAGAAGGGGCAGTGGGCTCAAGGATGAAACACGTGTACCCGGAAGACGCGAGCAGGGGAACCGGGAGCCGGGAAACAGCTTCCCCGCGGGCTCGTGGTGTGAGTGGGGGAGGTGGGGTGGATACTCACTTCGATGATCTTCTCCTTCTTTTTCTGTTCTGCCTTTTTGCTGCCCCCGGCCTGAGCCTGTTTCTTGGGGGGCATTGCGGAGACAGGTGGCAAAGGCCAGACTTTAAGCGCAGCTGAGCACCGTCAGGGGCTCTGGCCGCGGGCAGGAGGAGGAAGACAGAAGACTCCGTCGCCGCCGCACTGCGCGGAAGACGAGTCGCTCTCTCTAACCACCGAAACACGGCCTTTGCGACAGGTCGGCACTGCGTGGCATTGTGGGTAGTGAGGAGATTCGCCCGGAAGCAGAGCTGCGCGTGCGCGTCAGCCGTATTCGTCTTGGAGTGAGCTAAGAGGGGATGTGATATGAAAATGGCTGCGCGTCACGTGTGCTGTCGCTCCTGTACCTACCCTTTTCTAGGTCGCCAGAAGACTGAAAGTGAACCGGGGTGGGTAGGGTGTGATCCAGTGCGTTTATGTGGTCACTCCACGTTCTCTTTTGCTGAGGGTGGCCGGATCTTTTGACGCGGTAGCTGATTTTGCTGACTGGGCTAGTGATTTTCCGGTAGCATAACTATTCAAGGTGATTGCCAAGCAGCTGCATTAACTGCAGGCTGCTAGAGGGTCAAGGGTACACAGATACTTTTTTTCCCTCTCCCTTGTCGGGGCTAATCCCAACGGTGTGCTGGAGTTCCTGTGAAAAACGCTTAGAAGAAGAATGTTACTTTCATTTGGAGGATTCCAGAATTCCAGGGATGGGATACAAGTTATGTTGAAGTATTTATCGAATTGTCGTTGACCAAACTTTGGCCGTGGAGCGCATATATCTTAATAGTTTGTGTGCTTAGTAAATATGGAAGCCTCCTGGCATATTACAGGCATTATTACAGTGACATTGAAGTAGAAATTGTTATTTTCCCATCTTAGAGATGAGATAGAGAGGAAGAACGTCCAAAGTTGTGGTAAGAGTCGAGCCAGGTTATCTTACTTAACATGAGGCGATTGGTGTGGCATGGCAGTTTAAGTACTGGGCTGCTAACCTAAAGGTTGGCGGTTCAAACCCACCAGCTGCTCCTTGGAAATCCTATAAAGGGTCGCTATGAGTTGGAGTCTACTCTGGCACTTAACAACAACGACAACATGAGGCGATTGAAAATAATCATAGTTTAGGTCAGGGCACCTTAGTCCATAAAGTGACACCTTTGCTTTTGAACACTTTAAAAGAGGTCTTGCACAACAGATTTGCCCAGGGAATGCATAGTTTAACTTGATTGCTGCTGCCACGGGAATTGATTGTGGATCCAAGTAAAACGAAATCCTTGACAGCTTCAGTCTTCTCTCTATCATGATGTTGATCACTGATCCAGTTGTGGGAATTTTTGTTTTCGCTCTATTGAGGTGTAATCCATACTCACAAAGACTACAACCTAGAAAACCCTATGGGACAGCTCTAGGGTTTCTTGAGTTGGAATCAACTCAAAGGCAGAGTATTTATACACCAGATGTCTTTTTAAGAAATGTACTGTGCTTGTAACTTTTGTTCCATGATAAATGTTGAAATGTTTGGACTTCAAAAAATTTGTGAAAAAATTCCATTATCTTTCATTTCCATTTTTCCATGAACTTATTGAAGCCCTATGGTGCTGTGGGTTAATACGCTAGACTGCAAAATCAGTTTGAACTGCAAGGTTGGTGGTTCAAGCTCACCAGTC